TCCAGTCCCCTAATCATCTTCGTTGCCCTTTGCTGGACCCTCTCCAGCAGTTCCCTGTCTTTCTTGAACTGGGGAGCCCAGAACTGGACGCAGTACTCCAGATGTGGCCTCACCAGGGCAGAGTAGAGGGGGAGGATGACTTCCCTCGACCTGCTGGCCACACTCTTCTTGATGCACCCCAGGATGCCATTTGCCTTCTTGGCCACCAGGGCACATTGCTGGCTCATGGTCATCCTGTTGGCCACCAGGACTCCCAGGTCCCTCTCCACAGAGCTGCTCTCCAGGAGGTCAGCCCCCAACCTGTACTGGTGCATGGGGCTATTCCTCCCCAGATGCAGCACCCTACACTTGCCCTTGTTGAATTTCATCAGGTTTCTCTCTGCCCAACTCTCCAGCCTGTCCAGGTCTCGCTGTATGGCGGCACAGCTTTCTGGCGTGTCAGCCACTCCTCCCAGTTTTGTGTCATTTCTCTTAATATTAAGCAATATGAGTTAACCATTTACAGTATTAAGAAACAAATGTAAAGAAACCCACATCTCTTGAACAGCTGACTTTTAATCATAACAAGAGATAAAGTGAACAAGAAAAGATTATTTCCTGGTCGAAATGTTTCCTCTATGGTGACTCGTGAGCTAGCAATCAGACTAATTATGGGTCACTTGCGGATTTCACTTGGCTGTCAAAATAATAAATGTACCTTCTCTGCCTCACACGAAGCCTTTCACACCAGTTGGGAAGATGATGCAAGCGATTCCTGCTCCTCTCTTCTCCAATTCTGCCCACCCTTTACTTACCACACTTCACAGGCCCTTTTGTTGTTCTGATGCAACACCAGAACTATACAGTAAGTAGCATCAAAGTGACTTGGATTAAAATAGCCTTTACACACACAAAAAAAAAGAGGGAAAAAAAAAAGAAGAAAAAATCCCCCAAACCCAACATATAAGAATGTTTTACATCTTGATCATTTTGATGTTCTGGGTTTCAGGGTGGCGTTGCTCACCTCTGCATCAGCACAAGAAAGGGGATTTGAAACACTGGCAGGGTTGGGAAAAAGCAGCGGAGGGAAGAGAGATTAATAGCTGGAAATTCAAGGTAGTTTCACCACGGAAGAGAATACAGGTAAATCACACCTCAACTTGGGAGGGAGTGGTGAAATGGATCTAGAAACCACCTTTTTCATGCCCAGAAAAGCCCCAAATATTCTCATGTGGTGGCAATAGTGTGCTCCATGGAGGCTGACAGTCTGCAGCACACACCAGAGATATTAAACAGCATTACAGAGGCAAACATCACTACAGAATGTAAATCAGTTCAAGTTTAAGACATCTAACTTTTGGTGTCCATACATGCAGTGTCTCAGGTCCCATTATGATCAGTAGAAATCCAGGACTCGATTCAGTTACCACCGCATAGGCACCTAATGCCATCTGAGATGCTCGGTCATCTCCAGTACACCGATCCAAGAGTGGCAGATGTGACAGGGGTCTAAGAGACGTGTGCCTTTGTGGGGTAGCAGCTGGAGGCCAGACAGAGCCCCCACAGCGTCTAAAGTGACACTAAACACCTATATTCAGACAAATTAATATTATTCAATTTAAGACTGCCAATGGAGTCTGGAGAACAATTCACCCCAGCTGACTGGCTCTCTAAACTCCACTGACTTAACTGGATTTCAATTGACTATGGTGGGACCGCAGACTGCCAGCACACACCTTTCAATGTAGGTTTTTTCATTTTGAACTGAATCCCATTTCACCCTGACTCTGATTCACAGATGAATTCCCTTAATCTTCTCAGATCTAAAACAGAACAACAGGACAAGACGCCTTGCGTCCCTTTAGAAAATGGGAAATATCAGGACCAAATCCTTATGGCCAGTGATTCATTACAGAACGTCTTCTACTTGAGAATAAGAGAGAGAGGGTAAGACTCAACTAGTGCTACTCAGAAAATACTCACTTCAGTATTAATGCTACGAGTAGATCGAGACAAATAGGAAATATAACAGAGAACTTTAAGATTAAAAAAAGGATACAATAAATAACTCGTCTAGACTGCTTGCTATTAAGCCAAAGCTGTAGGAATTTTAAAAGAACACCTCAAGTAAAACGACAGTAAGATTTCCCAAAGGATAAAGTGTCTTCTACCAACGTAAGCAATTGATTATAGCTCTTATTTTAGATGTGAGTATATATTCCTGTATATCTATCGGTGGAAAATATCTAATGAAGCAAGACTTCCCCCCCACACTCTTTTGTTGGGCAATGATGCTTAAGGTAGGTTAACGCGTGTTATATGAGTTTCATCTAGTCAAGAAATGGCAATAGGACTATATATCGAGATACATACATAGAGTGATTCACAGTGACTTATCGATACTCACCTGCATTTCATACTTCAGGGTCATGTGGAAGCACCAAGATCCCAATCCAACAGCTGAAAACAAATCAAAACTATGGTTAACATAAAAGTCTACATGTAAAACTTTCAGGTACACTAACTTAAGTGCATGAACTTTACTGAGAAAAAATAATTAGAACATCAGCATCCCATTTCATGGAGAAAACCCCAGTTTTCCACAGCCTTCTACTTTGTACTTTAGTCACCAGTGATGTCCTTGAATTTATGTTTTTTTCAGGGGTTGGTTATC